GAAACCTTACCTCCCTTTATGTCCCTTTATTCTCCCCATTTTTAATATGATTGTCTTAACTGTTTCCTCTACATATATTGAGAAGCACTTCAGTGGTACAATTTTTGCTTCATCTGACAAAACAATTTAGAAAACTCAAAGGAAGGAAAGTACAGTGGAGCTGTGAACAACATTGGCTTTGACCTCCCTGTGCAGTCAGAAGTGTGTGTAACTTTTGACTCCTCAAAAACTTAACTACTGATAGCCTACTGTTGATTAGAAGCCTTACCAATAATATAGTCAATACATATTTTGTATGTCATATGTATTATATACTGTATTCTTACAATAAAGTAAGCTAGAGAAAAGAAAGTGTTTTTTCAAATTGGCACAAATCTCCAAAAACATTTTCCAATATACTTATTGAAAAAAATCCACACATGTGGACCTATACAGTTCAAACCCATGTTGTTCAAGGGTCAACTGTAATGGCAATTACTCCTGTTTTTGCTCTTTCTGTTGTTCTTTCTTCCTTCCTGATGTTCCAAGATCCCTTCTTTTAACACTTCTCTGTTTAGAAAACTCTCTCTAGCCACTGTCCATCAGCATACTAAAATGCTGTAGAATCACTACTTGTCTTCTCTGTGTTGTACAGCCCTCCCCGTGCGCCCCCTACGTTATGTCTACTAATTGTAATGCCCCTTTTTCCCCCCATATCCCTCCCTTCCCACCCATCCTCCCCCGTCCCTTTCCCTTTCATAATTGTTAGTCCATTCTTAGATTCTGTGAGTCTGCTGCTATTTGTTCCTTCAGTTTTTTTCTTTGTTCTTCTACTCCACAGTCTTTCTCCGTGTGGCTTATTTCACTGAGCATAATACCCTCTAGCTCCATCCATGTTGTTGCAAATGGTAGGATTTGTTTTCTTCTTATGGCTGAATAATATTCCATTGTGTATATGTACCACGTCTTCTTTATCCATTCATCTACTGATGGACACTTAGGTTGCTTCCTTGAGGGATATCTTTGATGAATATAAAATTCTGAGTGGACAGTTCTCTTAGCACTTGAAATATGTGCCATTTCCTTCTGGGTTCTCTGATTTCTAATGAGAAATTTTACTGGAGGCTTTCAGAATTATTTTCTCTGGTCTTTAGTTTTTAGATTTTTGACCAAAATGTGCCTTGTCATGGATTTCTTTGTCTCATTTGGCATTTGTTCAATCTTGAACCTGTAGGTTTATTTTTGTCTTGGTCAAATTTGGCAAATATTTAGCCATTATTTCTTTGAATACTTTTCCAGCCCTGCCTCTCTTCTCCTTTTCTGGGACCACAATACACCAACGTTAGAACTTCTGTTACATATCCCACATGTCCTTGAGGCCCCATTCATTTGCTTTTCAGTCTGTGCCCTCTCTGTTGTTCAAATTTGGTGATTTCTGTTGTTATGTCCTTGAGACCAGTATTCTTTTCTCTGTCCTTTTCTGCTGTTGAGCCCATCCATTGAGATATTATTTCAGATACTGTTGTTCTGTAGTTCTAAAATTTCTAAGTGGTTTTTGTTTTTATATCTTTTATCTTTGCTGTCATTTTGTGTTTCTTTGCTTAGACTTTCTTTTATTTTCCATTTATTTCAAGAATGTTTGTAATTGCTCTTTGGAGCATTTTATGATGGCTTTTAAAGTCTTGTTTGGTAACCTGTTACCTGTGTCATCTTGTTTTTGGCATCTGTTGATTGTCTTTGCTCATTTTAGTTGAGATGTTTTTGGTTCTTGCTATGCTGAGAGGTTTTTAAAATTGAAATCTGGACATTTTGGGTATTATATTATGAGATTCTGGATCTTATTTAAATCTTAGATTTTAGCAAGTCATTTCTGTTATTGCCCCAGCAGGGGAAGAGGGACACCCCTCCTTGGGGACATTAATGCCAGTCTGGGGACAAGTTCAGGTTCTCTACTTGGGATTTGTTGGCATTTAGTTGGGGAGGGTTCCATGTTACTGCCAAGCTGGATGGAAGTCTAGGCCCCCCACCGAGGCATTCAGGTAGCGCCTGACCTGGGAGGGAGAGGGTGCCTTGCTCCTCCTGGTGGTGTCCAAAGCCCTGGCTTTTCACTTGACCACCTCTGACAGGCCCCCGTGCGGGAGTGGAGGGGCAGGTTGCTGCTGCTGGATGGGTAGTAGTCTGGACTCCCCCCATGCTGGCCACACTGCAGTGGAGGGTTTGTTTCTCTGTGGTATTTGGAGTCAGGCATTAGGCAGTTACTGTTTAGAAGTTTTCTGTCTTTGCAAGCTGCCCTCTTTATCTCCTTTGGCTGGAGAAGTATGCAGGCTCTTCGGGAACCTTTTTTATGTGCCCGTCAGTGTTTCTGGGTTGCTGGCTTCCCCTGTGCCCAGTGTGGGATGTGTGAGAGGCAAAGAAAACCCAGGAAGCTCGCCACTGAGTTATTCCTGGGCTCCTGGGTCCCTAGCCAGCCTCTTCTCTACACTTTGTAGCATCTTTTTGTGTTTCTTTCATGTGTAAAGTCCAGGGACTCCAGCTATACTTAGTGAAAGGGATAAGGAAAGGCATGTTAACTCTAATTTCCAGCATCAGAAGTCCATATTTAATTAATTTTGAGTATGTAATATGTTCATATGACATGAAAGTTAAATGGCATAGCAAGATGTACAGTGAAAATTACCTTTTTCCACCCACCTCCCCTCTCAGGTGACCGCTGTTATTCCTGGTTTCTTGTGTATCCTCCTGAGATGTTCTCTACAGATTATCCTGCAGATATGCACACACGGACATTTTTACCCAAGTGGTGGCACAACACACACATCTTCTGCAGCAGGCTTTTTTCTCAGCACTACATCTCAGTGGTCCTTCTGGATCAATAATACATGAAGAACGGCTTCATTCTTTTTTATGGCTTCATGATACCCCATTACATGAAGGTCCATTTTTGCAGCCAGTTGAAATGTTTAAATGTTCATCCCATTATCTGTTATGTCCATCATCCATTACACCTTTGTGTCCCCTGTACGCATCTTGTCATCTCTGTACACGCCTGAGGCGGGTCTCTGCAGCAGGCTGTGATGCGCCAGAGGCGGCTCCCGGGCAGGTGTGGGTCCCCACTCTACAGGAAGTCATGTAGTCTGTGAAGATAGCTATTCTCCTGACCACATTTCTCTCTCATGTTCATAAGGGTGGTTTGGACCACAATTTGCTTTTTTCTACATATGAAGAAGAGATTTTGAATATAAGCTCTGTGTACCTTTACTTTCTTCTGTGAATTCTGTTGCTTCTTGTGTAATAGTTAAAAGAAATAAACTTTTTTTTGTTGTGTGTTGTTATTTCAAAGGGCCCCTTAAACTTAGATCTACTATAATTTGGGCTCAGATACTTGACCTACGTTTTTTGGAGGGATAAGATGTACTTTATTCATTAAAATTTTTGAGTGTGGGGGTTTCATTCTTACTTAGCTTAGAATTTTTTTAAGGTGGTTATTTTTTTTTGGTTAAATATATTGTCCTCAAATTCTTGGTAACTTGGAATGATGTCATGAATTGCAGAATCTTTTTGCCTTTGTCTCTTCACGGTCTTTTATACTGATTTGGCAGTTTAATTCTAAATTCATGCATAATTAAGTTTGATCTTGCCCAGAGGTTAGAATCTGTCACTTGTATGGACACACTGTGTGAGGATTTTTTAGGTCATTGCGGGCCATCTTGCTAGGGGTGACCCTCTGCGCAATACCTATCTTGTGCATCAGATGATTCTGTGTGTTGGTGTCAATGGGCCATTGAATGGCGTGTTGGGTTTCAGAGATGGGTTTTAGTTATTTTTACAGATTGCTCGAGTAAGTTATGGCCTGCAAGACTTTTCTGGCCCCATTGTCAGCCTCATGGCCCCAGACGAGCTCGTGGGCTCCTACTCTGGGCTCAGTCCCCAGCATTTCCATGTCAGGCCTGCTTCTTAGTCCTGCAGTGAGTCTCTCCTTTAGATTTGTGTCACCTTTTGTAACATTATAGCTTTGAGACTAAACATGACAACGGGTTGGAGTGAGGTGGGCAGACTGGTTTCTGACCTGTATCTTTTTCTTTTCACCTCTTCAGCCTATTACTTCAGGATTTCTTTCTGAAGAAAAAGTATTTAGATAGACTCTACAGCTTTGTTGCTATTCTTCGTAATAAATTGGGGATTTCATATCTACTTTGAAAAATAATTGCATAAATTTACTAATTTGTTTTGGAATAAATTTGAAGATGGGTTTATGGGAGCTCAGAGTGTGACCAGGATTTGGAATTTAAATGGAAAATTGATTCTTTGTGAAGCTTTCCACATTTGATTAGATGTTAAATTCTGGAGTGAAGTTTTATATGATTATTTACTGCTAAGTATATTCTCAAATATCAGGGTTAAGCTTTTATTAAAATAATTTATCATAAAGCCATCAATCTTTTCCCATAATATAGTTGTTTGATTAATTTTGCAATAGTTAATAGCCAGCAACCTCCTAGTTTTTTCTTTTAATCGGAGGTCAGTTTTTTTTTTCTGTAAAAAGACTAAAAATGTATTGTAGATGTATCTGATGCAGTTTTATTAAAGTGACTTGAGAGTGGATAGGCATTATATTTCAGTTTACTTTCTTGTTCTGTATGATATTTTGAATTTTGCCTCCTATACTGTATTTAAAAAATCGGAATGTATTGATATATATTCCATGGACATTTTAATTACTATCTTGAGGGTTTTTTTTTTTCTGGATGAAACTGAGGAATTTAGCAATGTATCTTCTTTCAGCATTAAAAGCAGGCCAGCTGTGTTCCTTTGTGCCATACTGGAAATAATACTGTAATGTAATTTGTTTCTGTATTATTTTATGTCCCCATTGGTAGTGTCCGTTCTGTGAGCACTGTCAACCCCTGATACAACCCTAACATGAAAATATACTTGCATATACACAGGGATTATATATTATCTTTTCTTGATCATTCAGTGTTTGTGGATAGTGATGGAAATCTTTGTGCTGGTTTTCTAAGGTATTGCCATCAGGGAGTCAGCAAAGGTGGTCGACCAAGCCCAGAGGCGGGTGCTGAGGGGAGTGGATGACCTGGACTTTTTCATAGGGGATGAAGCCATAGATAAACCCACATACGCCACCAAGGTGAGCTCCTGCCAGGATCTGCTGCTTCAGGTGTACAGCCAAGAACAGAGCGGTAAAATGAAGAATGCAGAACAGTAGATTCTCTAGAAGTTGTACTTGTGGGTTGTGGAATGTGTTTTCATTCTTAGGTTTGAAAAGAGATTTTGTTGTTGTTATTGAATTGGCTATTTTTGATGTGGGGTATCAAGTGAGTTCACAAAGCCCCGGAATGCAGAATGGACTCGGAGAGCTGGGAGCAGGAGAAAGGCAGGCCTGCTTCTTTGAGTAACTGCAGGTTGACTAAGCAGCCTGTCAGATATGGAAAGCTGCAGATTACTTAATTACAAATAAGCATTAAAATTATTTAACTAGACATTTGTTCTTAAAAAAAAAAGAGCTCCTGATCATGGCATGGTGGATTGGCTTTCCATCTGTTAGCCCAGTGTTGAGATGACTCCTTGTACTTGGAAGTAGAGTAGCGGTGGAGTAGAATATACACAATAATAAAATTTAGTCTTTCTGTTAAAGTGCCTATTGTTTCTTTACATGAATTAACATTCACTTTGAGCAGAGGAGAGCTTTATTCTCTGATAACTCAGTCTGCTGAACTGTTAACCCAGTACTTATAAACTGTTGCTCTTTCTGTTGTGAACTGAAGCTGGACCTATTTTGGTTTCCCTTTCTTTAGTGGCCAATAAGACATGGGATAATTGAAGACTGGGATCTTATGGAAAGGTTCATGGAACAAGTGATTTTTAAATATCTTCGAGCTGAGCCTGAGGATCATTATTTTTTAATGGTGAGTAACTGGAACTAAGAGGAATATACCCTGTAAATTCCTAATTACTTAGATTTTAAACTCAAGATGCTGTTCCCTGGGGAGTTTTTAATTCCTGCTAAAGCTGTATGAATTGGAGTGCTTTTTTGGCAAGTAATAGAAGTCTCACCAAAAATGTCTAAAATCAGAAGGGGCTCATTTTTTCACAAAACAGGAAGGCCAGAGTTGGGCAGTTCCAGGGTTGGGTATTTCAGTGGCTCAACCACAGAAATGAGGACCTGGCCCAGAGCACTCACCTGGCGTCTTGTGTTCGTTCCCCTCAGGCCCCAGCATGGCTGCTGCCCAGGTTCCTATACCACCTCTTAGTATATTTGCATTCGGAGGTAGAACCACTTTTTAAGAATTAAGAATTCCTTTCCCAGAAACCATCCCAGCAGATTCGCCCCATTTGTCCATGCCTAACCTGGTCACTAGTGTTGCGGAGGAGGAAATTTCCTCTACCTCCAGAGGTTCTCCTAGCTGGCCTAAGAATCACATTGACATGAGACACATCAACAGGAGAAAAAACCCAAAATTTTTTTACATAACCAATGGGGAAGCCATAGATATGGGTTCCAAAGCCAGGGAGATTGAGGTTTATTTGTTATCCTGAACCAATGAGAAGGGAGGAGGGGCCTGAGACTTCAACAGGGAAAGGGAAATAATCAACCGAAATAGTCCGGGGGTGGGGTGGGAACAGAGATTATTAGCAGATTTAGCCACATCCCTCTCTGTCTGCCACATCTAGTTTACATGATAATATAGTTATTGAAGGTGATAGCTCTCTTCCTGGAGCAGGTCCTCTATTTAAATTCTTTGTATGCAGGTTGAGGGTAGAAGGTCAAGAAGGTCAAGGTATCTTCATGAGTCTTTTGGACTTGATGGTTTTCAACTCTGGAATAATCTACATGTCACAGTGGTGCATCTAGGGTAGCCTGCTCTCGGCCCCTGCACTAGCAAGGGGAATGGAATTTCCTTGCCAGGTTTAGATGAGTCAAGATTCTTTTCCTGGGGCCAGGAAGGGGACCATCTCTGATCACCCGGGGCCTGGGACGGTTAAGTACCTAAACAGGTCTCCAGCAGCAAGGAGGATGGAGGGAGGACTGAATTTAGGAAACTAGCTGTGTACTTGGGCATTCTTGTGAAGTAACTGGATGACTCTGCATTTTGCTTCCTACAGCAGAGGAAATTGAGTCAGGATGTTGTTTTGCCAGGGTGTATATCTTACTGAAAGATAAAATTGAGCTGAGCTGTGTGGGCCCTGATTATAGTACTTTGTTATACTACAGAGAAATGAGAAGAAATACCTCTTGGTTATGGAATCTGTTCTAATTGTGCTACTCGACATTATACGTTCCCTTTCATAAAATGTTCTTTTTAAGTTAAAATTAATTACATGTACAAAATGCTTGCTTTATGGAGAGCAGTTGCGTGTACCATAAGCCGCATATTAAAATCTCCATGATTTAGCTTTGGATTTTTTCCCTGCAAGTACATTGTCAAGTGGTCCCAGATCCAATTACATAATTCTTTCTAATGTTAAATATGGAGTTTTGTATAGAGTTATCTGGTTTAAATATGTTAACTACAAGGCTATTCTGATAGTGAATGGAATCTACGTATTTAATATCTATTAAAGCAAGTCCTTGAAAGTGCAGTGATCTTTTTTTTTCGGCTGTATCTTCACACGTAGGAATTGCCAAGTGTAAGTACTGGATTTTACAGGCCACTATGTTATTTTGTGTCCTGTCCTTGCACAGTGGTTTATGTAAAATAAATGGAACCACAAAACTGACAGTGTGTCTGAGTAGTTATGTCTTTACAGCCAAAACAAATCTCAGATTCCCACCTGTCATGTTTGGCATTTTCCTTCTAGCACATCACGTCACTACCTGTTGATTGGCTTTTAGGGCCAGGCACCAAGCCTAGCTGCTTCCTTCTGTCTGCCTCAGCTGAGTGTGCAAGGAGTTCTCCCTCTTACTTCACTTAAAGGGACATCTAATCTCAGGCCTGTGGAGCAAATGCACACCACCAGGACACAGTCCACAGCAAGTTTTTCCTAAAAATGTTTTTCTGATTTAGCTGGCATATATAGGCCAGTAAGATCAAACCACTTGCCAGGAGGGAGTTGGAGGTCTTTGGTGTGAATATGGAAAAGCTAAAGTCTGTTTGCCAAAAATGAGTGCCTGCATGAATGTTCAAAAAATCAGGTTTATTAAAGATAAGAAATACTGTGTTTTATGTATTGTGCTTTGAATTCTGCAAGTCAGTTCATTGCATGATGTGATTGAGAAGTGATGGAAATGGTAAGTTTCTTTCAGGTTTATGCCCTTAATCATTAGTTAATGAAATAGTTAAAAGAGGAGGGAAGCAGGTGCATCAGATAAGGGCTTCTTTTTGGTACAAGAGAGTGTAAATTATAGGTCCCTTGGTAGCTCTCAGAATTGTTCTTTCTGACTGTTGTGACCAGATGTCGAACATACAGGGTGAGAACTAGCTTATTATGGCTCATATTTTTCAAGAAGGTTCAGAGACTCAGCTCATTTTGGCTAAGTGAATTGAGCAGATAGCAAATGGAGAATCATATATTCTCTTTTCCATACTGAATTGCTTAGAGCTCAAAACAGAATCGTGTATTTTAAAGAATTGTAGGGCTCTTGAGTGGAAATTGAGTTGTAACTTCAAAAGAGATTTGTAAACTTTTTGCATATGAGTTAAGGAAGAAAGGAGAACACCTTGCTCTAGAAGGCCCAGGAGCCGTAACTCCAGTGCCCAAGAGCAGGAAAGGTGAGTGTTCAGCCCACAGACAGACAATCACCCTTTTTGTTCCACTGGGTCCTCAGTGGATTGGATGGTGCCCATGCGCGTTGACGAGGGTAGGTCTCTACCCAGTCTGCTGAATGCTGATTTTTTCCAGAAACACCCTCATAAACACACTCAGAAGTAATGTCTTGGCCCAGTCAAATGAACACATGTGGTATGTCCTGACTTACACACGGTCCGCTTCCTGGTCCTTGAGCATGATTAGACCTGTCCTGTCCAGGACAGCAGCCGCCAGCCAGCAGAGGTTGATTCCTTGGGTTTGCTTAGGACCGGGCCATGTGCTTTCCAGATTCTGGTATATTGTCATCTCCTCTCCTGTTCTCCATTCCTTGAGGATTTATATTTTTAAAGAGGTTTCTTTACTGTAATTATACAGGGGTTTGGGGGTAGAGCATATTAGGTACATATGTTCTTTTGCTCACTTTATCCAGAAGTAGGGATTGGTTTTTATGGTACTGATTATTCATTTTTGAATCAATACCAGATGATATTTTACCATTGTTATGAATAAGAATGTTTATGTAGCTTGCATTCATGTGATATTTTAATCCTATGCTTCAGTATTAAAAAAAAAAGAAAAACTTGATACTTGCAATTTAGATCTTGTTATATATGATGGCTTGGGAAAGTTTTATTTAAATTGGCCTCCTAAAGGAACAATCACTGTGTAAATATAGAAGAAATGGAGGATTGAGGAAGAAATGAATTTATGATTGTGGCTTTCAGAACCCATGGGTGTATACCCTTAATAATGCTGAATTTGATTCAAGAACCTAGTTATATTATGAATGTGCCCTTAAATGGAAGTACATAGATTTTAATGTAAATTCTTCACAGATGGTAAATTGTTTGGCAGCAATAAATATAATCTTTGCACATACAGTTTTTTCTGTGTTGTAGCATTTTTTTTTAATATAAAAACTGCCAGTGTTTAATTTTGGGGTCCAGAAGCATTCATAATTTTATGAGTCTTAGCATACCATTTCACGCTGCCATCTGTAATGTACAAGAGGCCCACTTTATTTGTATTCCTGTCAGTATTGATTAATACCATTTTTGGTTATTTGATGGGTTAAAAATACACTTCATGCTTTAATTTGCATTTTTGATAACTTCGATCTTAAACATTTTTTCACATTTATTAGTTGTATTTCCTCTATTGTGAATTACCTATTCATTTCCAATGCTCTTGTACATATCAGTGTTTCATTGCTTTTTCTTACTGCTATGATTTCTGTGAACTTTTTCCTTAATTTTTTTTTTGTGATAAAATGTACATACCATAAAATTTACCATTTTAACCTTTTTGAATGTATAGTTTGGTGGCATTAAGTATATTTACAGTGTTGTGCAGCTGTCACCATCATCCATCTTCTGAACTTTTTCAGCTTCCCAAACTGAAACTCCTTCCCCATTACACAGCAGTGCCCTCTCCCTGCCCTCAGCCTCTGGTATCCACAGTTCTAACGTTCAGTCTCTATGAGTCTGACTGCTGGGGGCCTACATAAGTGGAATAATTACACACTTTTTCATGTCCTTTTGTGACTGGCTTATTTCACTTAGCCTAACAAGGTTCATCATATTGTGTAACCTGTGTCAGAATTTGCTTCTTTTTTATGATATTTCATTGTACATAGTACCACATTTTATCCTGTGAGCTCTTTCGGTGATAGGAAGCTTTGTTAGCAGATTTCTTTCTCAACTGATACTTTTTTACCTTTGTCGGTTATGTTGTTGAACATTTCTTTAGATTTTTGTGTACTAAACCAATTTTCCTTTGATGTTTATATTTAATTTTCATTCATCCAGGATTTATATAATTTATGTTTAAATAATTTATATAATTCTTGTTGGTAACGTCTTCCTGTCGGTTACCTTTCTGCTGCAGACCGAACAGGCAGCTCTTAGCTGACAAGCCGGAAGCATTCCCTGACTATGCATGTACTTTTCATACCTTTTTATCTTTCTCTCCTGATATGTTTCCTCCTCTACTCAGTTTAAATGCTTTGTTTATAAAGTTAACTTACTTGAGAGGGTGTTTGAATTTCTATGCAAGGCGAAAGAAACTTCATAGATACGTTACTGATAATTATGCTGGCGTGATTGAGCACTTGCTCTGCGCCCAGTAGATCCTCTCACCTCCCGATCCAAGTATTTACATGTACTTATTGAATCCCGCCAACAACCCTAGTTAGGGAGTTATTAGGCCCATTTCTCAGATTGATAGGAGGTACTTAGAGAGAGATATTGTAACCAGTACTGTTGGAATCTGTAGCTATTATTCATGTACTTTAAAAGAAAGAAATCTGAAATAATAATCGCTGATGTTTATAGTGCTGTGTGCTGGGCATTTAGCGGTATTAACAAATTTAATCTCAACCCCTTGAGGTAGGCACATTAAAATAATATGTTGTTGAGTGACGTTTAGGTCCCTATTTACAATCAATCTGCTTTGACTATGACTTCATTATTTCTCTCCCATGTTTTAAGATTGCTTTCTCTCCCCCATCCGGGGAATATATTGATTCTGACTACAGTGATTAAAATGTACTTGGGTCACTGTGTTTGAGCTTTGCATCAGTTGCTACACAAGAGTCGAAAGCACCCAGCCAGTTGATAGCCAGATCTGTTTGTTTAACAAGATATTAAACATGTGTAGCACAGAATTTAAAAGGTGCAGAAAGATTTCCAGTGTAGGCGCACCTCCTTCCCGCTTCTGCTGTGCCTCCCAGGTCCCCTTCCTAGCGGAAACGATTTTCATCAGTTCTTAACCAGTTCATTGTTTTCTTTCCAGAGATAATTGTGGGCAGGCATGTGGATTATACATAAACTTTTGTTTTATACAAACAGTAACAAAATAAATATGCTGTTGTACACCTTGGTTTTTTAAGAAAATAAAAACTCTGCTAAAAACATAATATGAAATTTAGCTTCTTAACCGTTTTCAAGTGTATAGTTCAGTAATGTTAACTATCATTGTGTAATTTATCTCTAGAACTTTTCCGTCTTTGCAAAACTGAAACTCTAAATGCATTCATTGAACAATTCCCTATTTCCCCTTCCCCCATACAACTTGCTTTTTAAAAAAGAGATTTTATTAAAAATTGTTGATATGGAAGAATATGTAGGAATGTATATAGTATGGAGACACCTTTCTCTTTTTAACAGTTTACGATAGAGATTGTTTCATATCAGCACATATAGAGCTCATTCTTTTTTTTTTTCATTATGGTATCAATATACAATCACATGATAGAGCTCATTCTTTTTAATTGCTGCAGAGTATTGTATTTTATGGATGTGACATAATTTATAAATCAGTTCTTTAATGATGGACGTTTAGGTTGTTTCTGATCAAGCGAACAATGACTTTGGACCTCTGTGAGGCACCTTGTTTAAGGTGGATCTTTTGCCTGTTTGATTTTGTCTCATGGTCTTAGCTGAGAGATTTATTTTTAGTAGGTGAGTTCTCACTTGTATTTGCTGATTATTTCAGTAATAAAAACCTACTTTTATTGAGCACATTCCGCATGCCAAGTGCAGCAGTAGGCACTCAGGTTACTTTCATCTTGCCAGTGATGTGAGGGAGGTGCTAATAGTACAGGGAGAGGAAATCACTTTCCTGACAGGCAGCACGCAGACAGGCCAGCTCTTTTTTTCTGTATTATGTTTTCTGTTTTTAATGTGCTTTCTGTATGTATGAATAAAAAAAAAAATCTCTCAGGCTTGGTTTTCTCTTTGTCTTGAATTGTTCTAATATATATATTTTTACATATTTTAATGTAACTATAATTTTATAAAATATATTTACCCTATATTAGGTTAGGGAGGATTAAGTACTTCCTACTGTGGTTAGTGACCAGGTTGGTACATTTCCAGATTTTCCTTCCTCCTCTTCCTTTTCTCTACTACCTGCTTTTGATTATGTTACTAATTTATTCTAATGTTAAGATTTGTAACTTCATGTTTGCTAACATCTCTGATAGTTTATCACTGTCTTTTCCATGGGAAGAGGGTATCAGTGTCTTTATATTCCCTCCTTTCCTTTGGTACTTCTCAACTTGATATTATTTCTGCTGTTGTAATTTAAAACATTTACAATCTGTTCTGTAATTCCCAGAAAAGAAAAATCTTTAGTCCCATGCCTTAAATTTTAGGATTAATTGCTTACTGTAAGTCTTCCGGAGTATTTACTGCATTCTTCTAAAGTTTATCTTCTAATAGTTAATTCATGATGGTCTCACAGGAACCAAATTCTCCCAAGTTCTTACATGTTTAAAGATCCTTTGTTTTTGCAACATACTTGATTGACATTATGGCCAGATGTAGAATTCTTGGGTCAAACCTTGCTCTGCAGACTCTGTGAGAATGGCGCCATGTGTGACCGTGTTAAATGTAGCTATCCTGATGGCTGAGTCTGGCTGTACTTTGGCTTGAAGAGGTGTCTGCTGTAGTGGCCGTAACAAATGCCATAGGCTGCACGCCTTAAACAACACGTGTTTGTTTTCTCACAGTTCTGGAGGCGTGAGGTCCAAGATGACGGTGTCGTTGGGGTGGTTTCTGGTGAGGACTGTCATCCTGGCTTGCAGACAGCGCCTTCTGGCTGTGTCCTCACATGGCCTTTCCTGTAGAGTATGGAGAGAGCTCTCTGGTGTCTCTTCCTTTTATTATAAAGACATTAGTCCTATCTAATTAGGGCCCCATCACTATGACCTTGTTTAGCCTTAACTACCTCCCTGGAGGCTCCATCACTAAACAGAGGCACGTTGTGGGTTGGGGCTTCCACATAAGAATTTTGAGGGGCAAGAGTGATTACCAAAGGGTAATGTGGACTTTGTTTGTGAGAAGACCCAGAGAATTCTTATTTATTCTTCTTTCTTCTTTTTTTTGCAGCTTTAAATATGTGATGTATATCCATATTTATTGACATGGAAAAATGTTCACAACATATTGCTGAATGACAAAAAGCAGGTTTATTCTTTTTATTTTTCTGTAATCCTGTTATTTCCTTCTATTTGGTAATGATTATTTTAAAATAGATACTTGAACCTTTTGTAATTTGTGATTTTTATCTACTTTGTTCCTATATTTTTCTGGGTATGTGTTTTTAATCCGCCATTTGTGTTTCCTGTTACATTTCTTTTACCCTCTTTTTCTTCTAGTATTTTTGTATGGTCTTTGGTTTCTTCCTGCTCTTTCTGCATCTTTGAAAGAGGGGAGTCCTTCCTGGACCAGCCGTGTTGTGAGTTCAGGCTGGAGGGCAGAGCAGTGTCTTGGGGACGCTGCTTCTGCTCTGGCTTTTCCCTGCCTGGCAGCTGATGGCAGAGATGTTCCCCCCAACCTTGCCTGCTGTGCTCTGATGGCAGGTGGGGCCTGGGGAGGCTTCTGCAGCGGTTCTGTGCAGATCGGTTGTGTTCCAGGCAGCGGCTTACGCTTTGCTCCTCTTCGGGGTCCTCTCACTGTCTGAGCTCTGAAGTCCCTGGCATTCTCTTCTGACGGCTCACTGCCCTGCAGAGTTTTATTGCCCTTGGCAACTTGCAGAGCGTTTAGCCTCGGGGGCTTGGTGTTATGTTACCAAAGATAGGCTTTCCTTGTCTGTAACTTTTTCTTGTTTTGGGGTGGTTAATAAGAGTAGGAGTGTTTAGAGAGGTCTTTACTTTGCCATCTTTAAAGCTTTTAAGATCCGCAGCCAGATTTCTTTAATTACTCTAGGTGTACTCTTATCTTTTAAATTAAGGAGTGGTATGACATCCTAATTAACAAGCTTTTAGGTTAACTTTTTTATGGTTCTGATGTAATTACATAAAATTTGGCTGAATACTAAATACAGTGAATGTTTTCTTACAGACAGAGCCTCCCCTGAATACACCAGAAAATAGAGAATATCTTGCAGAAATTATGTTTGAATCGTTTAATGTACCAGGACTCTACATTGCAGTTCAGGTAAAAACAAAGCTGTTTTTATGATTCCCAAAGGATCTTGGCTGTCTAATAGTGGACGAAATGGTTGATCCCAAACCAAAGGCTGCGGTGTTGTAAGATCGTGCTGTGTGCTCTCCCTCTCTCTCCTCCCTCAGCACACACACAGGCAGGGCTCGAATGCCAGTGCTCTAGAGAACATGTGCCAGGATTTATGTTTTCATATTTATGTGAAACATATTTATATGTTGGTATGGAATTTGTTTGGCTCTGTCTTTTTACATGTGTTAAAATCTATTGTATTTTTCTCTGGGTGACAAGATTAAGATATAAATGGGGTTCTTTTTTAGGCTTCTTTCACTTCTGATCATAAAAAAGAAAAGATATTACAGAGTCTGTTAAAAAACAAAATACCTCCAGAGGGTTCCTTGTGAATTTTGGATCCTGCGGTTCTGTGAGCTTGCCGAACTTCCTTTGAAGCTACTTGTTCTTAGAGTAGGAACTTTGGTTGGTTTCGGTTGTTGCATGTCTGCCATCCTATATAAGGGAATCGACTGATATTTTTGGGAAGCACTGAGGCAGGTGTTCCCCAAAATGTTTTCTGCATACTACTAGTCCCCCTTATCTCTGAGAAAGAGGAGGAGGAGGAACAGCATAGAAAAAGAATTTGAGGGATACCACATGTTGTAGCCTGCACGGTGACCCACAGTGCGTAGTTGCACAGGAAAGGCTCTGAGAATGCCTTTGTTGAAGAGGTCTGTTTATTCGAACACCTTCAAGTTGATGTATCCAGAAATAGTTCCCTTCCCCTATGTTACGTTCCATGGAATAGGGAGACACTTTAGGAAACACTTGAGTGGCTCACAAAGACGTCTGTGGATCAAGGTCACCTGGAGAGTGTTTTTTATAAGTACAGATTCTCAGGCTTCATCTTAGACCAAGGTTTTTCAGCCTCAGTGCTTGGGTCAGGCACGTCTTTGTGGCGGGGTCAGTCCTGTGCACAGTCTCTGGCTTGCATCCACTGGGGGCAGCACCACTACGGTGCCCTCCCCCAAGTGTGACAATCATAAATGGCGCCAGACGTCACTAGATGTCTCTGGGAGAGCAAATTTGCCCCTGGCTGAAAACATTGTCCTAGTCCTACCAGCTTAGAATTTCTTGGTGTGAGAGTTAGTAATCTGTCTTTTTAAAAACTCTCCACAAGTTATCCTACTGCACCCTGTAAAGAACCCATCTTTGGAACCAGTGGATTAGAAATTAAAATCTTAGTCCATAATTAAATGCCTTTCTCAATGGTTTTTCTTTGTAAAAATTGGACTCTTCTGTTAACATCTTGACTCCTCCAATTTAAGTACTCTAAATTTGCATGTTGTCCACTTTGGAATTGCATTTTGGGGGAAAGATGGAGGACAGGGAAGGACAAGAGTTGCTTAGATTATTTAAGAAAGAGCTTATTGACTGCACCTGAGGACAAGCAGTCACAGTACCTCAGAGAAAGCCCCACGTGCAGCCCATTTGCTCATCTGTTTCCAGGCAGTGCTGGCCTTGGCAGCATCGTGGACGTCCCGGCAAGTTGGGGAGCGCACGTTAACAGGGATCGTCATTGACAGCGGGGACGGGGTCACTCACGCTATCCCAGTGGTAAGCTCAGCACTCGGTGCTTCACTCTCTGGGGGTCTCACCTGATGCCAGGTAAGGGAAGAAGTCAAAAGAAAAAGTACAATACCACTTGTAAAGTCATAGCTCTGCTTGGAAAAGAAATGGTGACAAGAGTTTTTAGACCCAGGCATATGAGAAAGAAAAAGATGCCCAATATCCATGGTGTTGGGAAATTTAAACTGGCAGTGGCAGATTTCTGCAGTTGGGATTCAGCAATTGTTTGGGGCCTCCGGGGCCTCCGCTCTGTTCACTGTGTGTAACGTCACCAGGAAGATTTTCCTGGCTTAGTTCTGAGCTGTCGGGGTAGACATCAGATTGGGTATCAGACTCGTAGGGGTGGTGCATGACCACTTGAGTGACTTGAGTGATTATCTCTGTGTTCTGTGACAGCTGGTGGATGGCTGTAGCTAGCTCCTGCTTTAGAGAAATTGCTTCCTGTTTTTTAATTATTTAAGATCCAAGGAGAGATTGTGCCATTTGACCTGCAAGATGCTCTGCAGTGTCACTTTTTGGTTTTAATATTAAAAATATTAGAGAAGTGATTCCTAATTCAGGCTTCTAAGACATCTATATTTTTCTTTTGGTCCAATGAACTATTAAATGGGCTAAAGTTTTTTTTAAATTAATCCTAACTGTGTAAAGGAGGCTTCTAGTGGAAAGCCAGCCTTATTCCTGATCCTCCTCCTTGAAGTCCCCTTCTCAGAGGTAACTCCTGTTACTGGTTATTTATGTATATTACAGATATATTTTCTGCCTGTAAGGGGGTGTGTGTGGTGTGTGGTGTGTGTGGCCTTTATAAAATGCAAACTAGAATTTTAAAAATTATTCATTTACTTGATAAAAATGGTCACCATTTCATTTCAGGAAGTTGAAGGAATGATGTGTTAACATATGCTAATATGGTAGTTCCTTCAAGGTCAGAAGTCACCTAAGGGGAAGGGTTAGGTTGATGTGCTTTGAGGTAGAAAAAGCCAGACTACTTTCGTGCCCATCCTTGTGCCCCTGCCAGTGTGACTTCGCACAAGGAGAGATGGGGCAGGAGTGAATGGCACCCCGCAAAGGGTTCTCTGTGCTTGGATCACCTTTCAAGCTAATCTCATAACTCTTGTCTCTGCGGGTCACTGAGAAGTGGCCCTTGACGTGTGACCCTGACTGGGGAATTCGGGCGCCTGGCTTTGTCTCTGAGGTGTTATGGGCCTGCTGCTTTCTCTGTCCCATGGGTCTGAGGAGAAGGGAAGACAAAACTGGTTTCACATGGTATACAGATCCACAGAGGAAGTTTTAAAAATTTTTATCTAGATTTTAGTTGTTTTTTTCCTGATTATAAAAATTACATTTATTGTACAAAACTTGATAAAATAGAAATGTGAAGAAGAGAATAAAAGACCCATAAACCCACCCAGAGAACTGCATTATTATACTTTTTGCTGTATAGCCTTCTAAACTCTTTTTATTAGATACACGTGTGTGTGTGTTTCAAGTGAGATCTTAATATCCTTCTCTGGTTTTGTATAATATAATCCTAAAGTTTTATTTTGCATATTGATTTATCCCTGTATTTGGTTATGGTTAAATATTCCATGAGAAAATATTTAATAACCATGCAATAACCCGTCATGTGTGTATGGCATAATTCCCTTATTTTCCTATTGTTGGACATTAGGTTTAAAACATTTTTAAAAATATTGTGATAAAGTGGGTAATGGTTGAATTAATTTTAGAAAATGTTATATGTAATGCAAAGAACATAATAATTGTAAATAGTTTGTGTTTTTGCTAATATTCTTATCACTTCAAGTTGTACATACTTTTTATCTCCATCTTAAAATACAAATAACTTGGGACTGTGGAAAAGTCAAATTTTCTCTTCTAAAAGTTAGGTACATCAGAAAGAGACATAATTGGGACTCAGTAGCTTGTCTTTGCAACTTAACTGACAACTGTATCTCATGCTTATTATCATTAGAACTAATGCTCTGGTCCAGTGAGGTCAGCAGCTCGCCTCTCTTCCCCCTGACTCACATGGCTTGTAGCACAGAAGCCGGTGCTATAATGTGAAACTTGGGACGTTTCTTTATCTGGTAGAACTATGGTAGGGTGTTACCCACTCTGACCAGGAGCCCCCCATAGAGCAAGCTGAATGTGTGCCCGAACCTGTGGCTTCTGTGGCGAGTTGAGTCCCCAGGAAGGTTGATGAGGGGTCTGGGGCTGTGTGCGTGCTCCGGAAGGTGAACTCTTGGCACTCACCCTGCTGTGATGGACTGCAGCTCCTATCCTGGCCCTGGCAGATGTGCTTCATTGGCTTAGGAAGGTAGCTGACCAAGAGGATCCCCACTCCTGACCAGCGCTGGCCTCGGTGGCATGGCGTTCAGTTAGCTTCTCAGAATTATTCCTAGTGAGTTCAGCTCTTAGTACAATAAATGGCCCGTTGTTGAATGCTTAGTACATGCCAGAGAACAGTGCTATGTGCTGGACCTACTGTTTCATTAATTCTCTGTTGCAAACCCCACCAGGTACTACTGGCCCCATATTATGGATGAAGGTATTGAGGCTGAATCATGTTAACGGACTTGTCCAAGGTCATTCAGCTGACAAGTGTGTGCACCTGGGATTTGAATCCAAGTTCTCAGAATTTAAGTCCTGCATACTTAGCCAAATTCTTGACTTTTAAGTCAAAGTAGAGTGATAATTGGTTTAACAATTTACAGAGAAAACTTTCCCTTTTTGTTAGAGGAACAAAAAACCTATTGGATTTGTTATTCTGACAGATAGCATTACTTTTTGGAAATGAGCTGCTCTGTTGGTTTTTCTCTTCACATTCCTCATGAAAATCATTTTGGTAGCTTCTGGAGAGCTTATATGAACGGAATTGCACATGGTGTCATTTAAAAAGACCTCCAGTCCTGAGATTTGCATAGAGTTGGGGGTGGAGTAAAATGCTTGTTAACTCAGTGAGGGGGCAAGAAACCGTTTCAGAGTCCAGGGAGCTCCTGCCTGCTGCAGTCACTCATGTGGGTTGTTCTGCCCCCTCCTCTTCCCTAGGCAGAAGGTTATGTAATTGGAAGCTGCATCAAACACATCCCGATTGCAGGGAGAGATATTACGTATTTCATTCAGCAGCTGCTAAGGGAGAGGGAGGTGGGAATCCCTCCTGAGCAATCACTGGAGACTGCAAAAGCCATTAAGGTAAAAACAGACGGAAAACGGGCCGGTTTGGGGGTGAGAAAGGGTGCTTGGACACTTCCCCTCGCTGCTGTCGCCCCTGCTCCCGCCGTCCTTCCGCTCCCTTCCCTGCGAATGTGGGGCTTGGTCTGTTTGCTGCTGAGTGGCTGAAAGACTTAAGGTTTAGTCTCTTACTCTGAACAGAAATGCCTGTGGAGGTCCCAGCTGTAAATGAGAACAGCCGGATAACTGGTGTGGCACAGCAGCGTATGTAGTGCAGCACATTTAATTGGAGCCTAATTGGATAGAACCTTCAATTAGCCAAGTGTGTCTTCCTCGTCTCCCTCCACATTTCATTTTTAGAATAAGGAGCAGATGGCAGCAGGGACGAGGAATCCTGTGAAATCGGCCAGACTCAGTTCCAATACCTGTTGTGTGTGTGCTCTGCCCACTGAGAATTACTACTCAGAGCAATGCCGTTCAGGGAACCACAGTCGTTAAGCAAGATCCACCTGTATCGTCTGGATTCTGATCACCACGCTAGAGAAGCTACAGGAAGTTTTAGAATCAGTGAGATTAGGACACAAATGGTTTATTGGTCCTTATTTTACAATGGCCACGTGACCTGATCCATCAGTTTAATCTTTCTGTTTCTCTTTATGTAGCAGTTGATGGACCCTTTTTTTTTTGGAATCAAATGGATTTTAGTTTTCAGAAAAAAATTTGATTATATAGAAATAGATTTCAAGAAACCTAGTCATTTAGAATAGAAGTAAATAAACACTTCTTGGCCTCTTTTTTTTTGAGTGTCAGAATATCTGTAATTGAAATTTTAAATCTAAATACATCTTTTTTTTTTGGTATCATTAATATACAATCACCTGAGTAACATTGTGGTTACTAGATTCCCCCCATTATCGAGTCCCTACCACATACCCCATTACAGTCATTGTTGATGGACCTTTTTTAAAGAAACTTTTAGGTTGCAAAGTCAGGACAGGTTTTTTTTTTAGTCAAACTGCAAAAGATTCATAGTAATGCAAGGATAATTATTATATAGATAAGAGGGAAGGTTTTTGTTTCTGGAGAAGACTTTAAGTATGGGGTGTGATGTGACCTTGAGCATCTCCTTTCTCATATCTTCAACAACACTTGAGCCGAAGTGGAGTTTAGGGGAGGTGAGGCTCCCCCACTTTCCTCCCATCCAAGCACTCAGTAACTGAGGCTGGTAGGAGGAAAGGAAGCATCAGAGGCGATTTCCACATTTTGCATGACGCGCTTCATAAAAATCAGTTTTTAGGACAGGGTGCGCTAGAATAGGTCAGGGGTTCAGTTTGTGGGGTCACTGGCTGCCCCTTGGAACTGGGGCTGTGGAGTCCCAGGGATTGGGCATCTTCAGGGCTAGAACTGTGTGGTCCCAGGCAAATCCAGAGAGTTGGGCCTTACCCTTTGGGGAAAGTTTATGGAAGTATCGTAAGACTTTCTTTTTGGATTAAAATATTTCCTAAGATTTCCCTTCTTCTTTTCCTTGTCTTTCTTCAGTGGAAGAAATTTGGATATTTGATCCAGGCTCTCTTGCTGCTCCAAAACTGTTAGAAACATGAATCAGAATTGAGCCTCTTGTTCCCAACTCCTAGGGATCGATACGGGGAATGTGAGCGTTCCCTTTTCCAGGATGATGCCCGAGTGTGATGGCTTGTGAGGTTGTGCTCCTGGTTCTCCTCGTGGCATTTATTTTACTCTTTGGCTACCTGGGGTCCAATTCTGACCTTGAGTCCAGAGCTGGCCCATTCGGGGTAGGACAGTGTGTATCACTCAGTGGCGGAGGTTGGGGGTAAAGGAGACTCCTTTCAGATTCTCTGATAGCGGCTCTGCCCTGCCGTGTCGGTTACCTGCTGCTGGATCCTGCCTGCTTCTTTCTGTAGAGGGAGAGATCCTGGAAAGAGTGGTTTAGGGTCACCCCTGCATCGTGTTACTACTTGACTGTGTCCTGTGTTCACCAGCAAGCCTGAGGGCGTGTAGGCTGTGGCGCATGCCTCCCGTGCAGCATGAGTAGAGAATTTCCCACTAACCCTGCTGCACTGTACCCAGCTTTATTGAGGCATTTCGTGCTCTCAGGAAAGCCAGCTGAGGTACCATGAGAACTTGACCAGGCTTCTTAAGGACAGTTCAGTGCTTTTGTCTCCAGCCTGGTAGATTTAAAGTTGGATTAGCTGACTCTCTGGCTCTGTTATCAGGAAACACAAGGTTGTGTAATGAATCTTGCCTGTCAGTCTTATAATTCTCTAGAGTATACTGAGGGTGGTATTAGACTATGTTTCAGGGATTCTAAGAAACTTTAAACTTAATATCATGGAAATACCTTCAGAGGTTTTTCCCATATGTGTAGTGAGCACCAGCTATGTGCCCAACATAGTGCCAAGCGCTGGGTAGAGCCCATCTGGCTCGTGCCCACAGGAAGCTCACTTTCAGGAGCTGGTACTCAAGTCCCACCTGCTGCCTTGCCAAGGTTAGCTCTGGGGACAGGTGACTGACTCCAGAGACCCCCCCTCCGTCCCCAGTCAGGTACCACTAGCTGCTAAGGAAACATCTCAGGCTGCTTGCTGGTGCCAAGGTGAAAACCATTAGCAGGTTCTCCTGCAGCAGTGACTATGGCCACTCCAACCCTGCCCAAGTCAGCCTTTTCTTCTTTCCATGGTACTTACCACCCTACAATGTGCCATGTGATTTATTTATTATAGTGCTCCTGACTCTCAGCCAGAGCACATGCCCCAGCGGGCAGGCATCTGTGTGTGAGGTTGTCTTGGGTGACCCGTGGACCTCGGCCCTCAGAGAACACTAGTCGGGGGGCTTATGACTGTGCTGTGTTGACTGCATAGCAGGTTACATGCCAGGTGATCGATGGGTGGGCCTCAGATGTGGTCTGCCGGCTGCTGCACTGGGCTGCCTGGCAGGCCTGCTGCTGGCCCAGAGGACAGCATTGAGTGCCTTGGGCCGAGCGCTGTGGGGTGCATAGGAGTCAGGAAGGAGCAGGTGGAGACAAGATGCTTAGGACACACCTTTAGACACAATTTCAGATAATGTGACAACAAAATTTGATAGAGTAAGGCTGAGGTTAGTAGCCGAGCTGCAAAAGAAAGCAGACTTAACATGTCCAAAACGAAAGCATACTCGTGTCTACAGTGGAAGACGGTAGTGCCAGCACGTCTGAGGGGAGCTGTGGGTGTGGGCGGGGCACATGGCGGGTGTATTAAATGCATCAGCTTGCTGCGGATTTATCGTAGAGAAGAGACTGGATAGCTGTTAACGCCTCGTGACCTCTGTGTGTGTACAGGAGAAGTACTGTTATATATGCCCTGATATAGTCAAGGAATTTGCCAAGTATGATGTGGATCCCCGAAAGTGGATCAAGCAGTACACGGGCATCAATGCAGTCAACCAGAAGAAGTTCATTATCGATGTTGGCTACGAAAGGTTCCTGGGACCTGAAATATTCTTTCACCCAGAGGTAAGAAGATGCTTGCATTTTGAGAGTGCTGAGTATGGCATGTGTGGAGCGATACTGCCACCTCGTGGCACAAAGATCAGTTCCCAGAAGTCGCTGAGCAGGCTGGCACCTGTGTGCACACCACTTTGCTCTGCAAGCTCCTAGCCCCGTGTGGCCTGTCTGTCTGAGTAATTGTTTCAGTTTGCCTCTCCATAGCCTTGGTCATCTGTTTAATAGCTAACGATGTATCACACCACAGTGGCTAGGAAGAAGTTCTAAGAGCCATAGAAGGTAATGGAATCGAAATCAATCTCACACTAATATGAAAACAATTCATCTCAGGTACTGAAGAAAAGTTGCCTCCCTACCGAAGTGGGATAACGTACAGCTTTTTCATCTTTTGTGATCGCCCTTCTGAATCCCAATTTTTAGCTCAGGCTGCAAGTTAGTTAAAAGCTTCCGTCTGAAGACTAGCTCTTCCATCAGTTAGATAGTTTTTAAGAATTACAGGCATCATCATTTAGATTAGTAGTGCATGAAGAATTACTACTTTTACAGAAGCAGGAGTGAGGAGGTGGCATTTTAAGGTTTAAATAAAATTCATTTTATTTGTATTCTGGAGTACTTTCCTACCTAATTGAGTATATATTCAATAGGTAGGTTATAAAACTGCTGCCTACTTTCAGATGTGGATGTGACTACTTTGTGTAGGGAAATGGAACAAAATATATACCTTACTTAACCTAAAAATGTCACACTCATGCCCTTGGTGTTGATTTAAAATAGACGTAAACCTGACTGTCCAGGGAACAGCTGGTGAGCAGCTGGGTGTTACCTCCTCCTTTCCCAGACTGTTACACATTAAAGTTCTCCTTGACCTTTAAAACACATTTCAAATGTAATGTAATTGGATCATTTATACTTTAGCTTATGGAATTTAATCTAAGGCTGTCTACTTGGTCCATGATTGTTATGTTAATTGCTTTATTTTAAATAACCCCGCGTCTGCCCCCCTGTCTTCTAGCCCAGGCTTACAATGGTCTTTCATGGACGATGTTTTTTCTTATATCCTGGTTAATTTCTGCATAATATTAATATTCATAAGTAATATGCCCATTATATACTCATGTGTTTCTCACTGTGTATCATATCCGTCAGGCACACACTTTTCACAGTTTCTTATTTGCATAAATCACTGTGTATTTATAATTCTGGTTGGTGCATCTTTGCTACTGTTTGATATTTTGCCTTCGCGAAACTCACACATTTCATCTCGTGAGCATACACGTTACCATGCATACATAGTTCACCTGGGACTCATTTGACATAGGTTCTTTCCAATGTGAAGTTTTTTTTAAAGGTACAGTAATGCTGCATTTGTTAAAGTTACTTTTTTTAAGAAGAGTTTTTGTTTTGTCCTATTTAGAGAAATTTCAATGTTTCTTTTATACTTACGTAAAATTTAGTTTGCCAACCCAGATTTTATGGAATCCATCTCGGATGTTGTTGATGAAGTAATACAGAACTGTCCCATTGATGTTCGTCGTCCGCTGTATAAGGTATAAGCTGCTTGGGTAAGGTTCTTTGATTTCATTCCAGAATTAAAGGAATATCATTCTTAGACTAGATTATTAATATCAAATGCCAACATTCCTATTTCACCCCTTGTTTGATAGGATGTGTTAAAGGCCAGTGTAATAGTAAAATCATCCTGGAGTGGGGATAATCATAAATGTTTGGAAGTATGATCATAAATGTATGGAAGTAGTTAACTAGAGATAATTTAATTTAAATATTCTGGTATCTTTTTTTCTTATCTGGCCAGCTGTATTTGAAGTTGGACTATTTTAACCATACTTACAATTGAAAGATACAAGTGATACTTCCTCTGCATGGATTCCATTGGTCTCATTCCATGCATATTTAGGTTCAGTGCCAAATGTGGTATTTTCAGAAAGAAGTCAGAGCTTGAAATGAAACAATCAAACAGAAAATGCTCATGTAATATTCTTTTCAACATTTTCTGATGCAGGGAATTTTAAAACTTGAAATGAGAAAAAGCTAGTCCATGTAGTTACAGGACAAAAGGAAATATTGCTGGGAGCCAGATACTGAGAACAGAAAGTAATGGTCAGCCTTCCTTCATCTTTAGTTACCCTCTGCCTGAGTGAATCATGCTGTCAGCAGTCAGCCTCAGGACTTCGTCTTAACCTTATGCAAACTCAGGTGTCTCAGTTTTAAAGAGGAGAGAATCAGGCTCAGTAAAGAGGGTTTAATAAACTTTGTTTCATTTATGCAATGAACTTCTATGCAGACTTTCAAAAGAACAGGGTAAATCAGTATAAATGCAAGTGAAAAATGTCTACAGCATATATTATTAAGTGAAACAGTAAGCTGTAAGCTGTAAGGTTTATTTACAGTATTGTTTCATTTTATGTAAAAATATAGTCACTAGAATGATACATGTCAAACTCTTAAATATCTTTGGGGTGGGAGATGAGTAACATTTACTTTCTCTTTGTGTTTTAAAATTGAAACTTTATAGTTAGGAAATGTTATTTTTATATTGGAAAACATTTTCCTATATAGATAGCTTTTAATGGGTGAAAATAAATTACAATTCTGTTTTCACTTGTTGTGTATCCTTAAACACTTGTGTCCTCCAGTAAAATGCGTAAGGAAGGGAAGCTGAAGACAAGCTAAGCATAGTCAGGTGTTCCCAGATTCCCAAACGGCCCTGGAATTCCCCTCCAGTGAAACGGATGAAGGTTAGAAATGACAGAAACCACTCACTTTTTTTGGTTCGCCCCACATATTAAAACAGAAGAGCAAGCTGAGTCTGAGCAAGTGACCTTTCTGCCATCGCTTGTGCAGTGCTGAGCTGTTTGAAGTAAAGTGACCATTTCTGAGTAAAAAAAAAAAAAAATCCAGGGGTACTGAGGTTAGTAAAGTAGTGTGTGTGTGTGTGTGTATGTGTGTGCGTGCTCCCCACCTCTTAAGTCTTAATAGTAGCTGTGTCTTCCTGTCCACGACAGCAGGGAGCACGCGTACACCCTTTCGTCTTCGTGTCACCCTAACATAACAGTTAGGGATTGCTCACGAGACGGAGAGGCTTCTTGTCTGACAGTTTGCCTCACGGTCAGTAGACGTACGGGGTTCTTGACGTTGAGCTGGCCCTGGAGACTGGAGACTGCCCCTTACGAGATGAGACGCTGATGGGAAAGAGGCACCAGGGGCAGCTGGTCTTGCCCCCACGCCTGCCCCGGCGCCCGGGCCAGGGGATAGATCCCTTAACCGCCGATGGGAGCTGGTGACACAGAATAAGCCAGCAGTCTCTGTTGCTTGGAGAAGATGAGAATCTCCTTTTTCTATGTGACATGCTTAGGTCACCTGCAAGAGCCACCCTCCTCTCTTCCTGGGTAGGGGTCCGCTCCTTCCTGTCTGACCGTCCCCTGTAGGGCCGTTTCCAGTCTTGGAATTGTTAAGCCATCGGTAACAATGTGCTAAATAGTAAAGCACATCACATGTATCAACCCTGAACTCAGGAAGCATCGAAAACTCTGAGAAAACCTGTGACGCACTATGGAGATGCGCACGCATGTGTGGGGGCAGTGTGTCAACTCTGCGGTGCATGTAAAATCACGTGGGGCTGCGACATCCAAACGTGGGAGACTGTCACTAGGATTAAAGTGAGGAGAGAATGTGACTTTATAAATAGGGGAGGAAAAAAGCGTCTTGGGGCTGGGGATGAGAAGGGGCTTTCGCAGAGGCTGCTGCGGCTCGCCTCCTCTCCGGCTCGGGACATCTGGGCTCAGACTTCTCTCTTTCCTAGACACTTTGGGAGACTGCTCTGTAGCCCTGCACGCACACCACCGGTGCTCCCTGTTTGTCTCCCAAGTTGGTGGTAGTCTCCCAGTCACCTAATGGGAGTGCTAGGCTGTTCCGATCAGCGGCACGGTGGTCAGATGCCAGTGACACCTGGTGTTACCCAGTATCTTCAGGGGCGGGGGCACTGGAGGTAAAAACATTGCTTTAAAGCCATTCTTCTGTGGGTGTGTGGTAGTGTAGGCAAGAGGTGTTGGTCATCTGCTGTCCTGGGCGCTGGTGGACGTGGACCTCTGCAGACTCCTGTGGCTTGTCGGCTGGAGGAGGTGAGCACAGAGTCCAGTGTAGGAGGTCAGGGATGATGGGATGAAGAAGCCAGAGTGGAAGGGTGGTTTGGGTGAGGGTCCGGAAAGGCAGGTGACAAATACAATGGCGGTGACCCAGTCAGGTGCATTTCCCAGTGTATTTCGAAAGTTTCAGATTTCTGTCAGCTCTATGCTCAGGAAGTTGGAGAAAGTGATTGAACTTCTCAATGTAGTTTTTAAAATGGTAGGAAATTTCAGGTTTGCTTTTTTTGTGGTTAATTGCTTTCCAGGTGTTCATTATCATGCAGAAACCATCTTGAGCTTCACTTCTGAATAGATTTCACTTCAAGAAATCTGTTCCTCAGACTTTGAAACTTACAAGATCATTTCATAAATAGCTAAATTTTTTTATGAGTGTTCATGTGTGTCAAAGGAGCAGATCGTGAGGGCGTTGCTCCTCCTGTGCCCATTTCCCGGAGGAGGCGGACGGGGGCGGGGACTTGGTGTTTAATCCTCACAGACATCTGTGGAGGCTGACAATATTCTCCTCCTCACAGAGGAGAGAAGGAGTCTTGAGACAGGTTAAGTGGTTGGTAAGATCATTTAGCTGCCAGGTTTTGAGTCCATCCCATTTCCCATATCTTTGAAAACTCATGCTTTTTCCACCAAATCAAAGTTACGTGAAAGGCAGGAGGAAGATGCTTCTGCAGAGGGAAAAAACCCTGCCCCGGCCCCTTCACCACTAGGGGGATCGTCTCCTCTCTCGTGTTTGGAAGTGTCTTAGCTTGGCCCTGGTCACCAGGCTTGTGCTGAGGAAATCCTGCGCTCTGACCAGCTAGGCGTCCCTGTGTGGGCCTCTGTATGTCACTGAAGCCTCACAAGTGCTTTAGAGTTCAGGTGGGCTGAAGGGGAGGCCTGGATGTGCAGCATGGACTGTTTCTCCTTTTTCATGTGGCAAAGATAACCTTTGTATACCCCGTGGGGAAAGGAGAGACATAAAAAGGATTGGCTGCCCCCCTTTGCCACCTTTGTAAGATTTCAGAGTGGACTAGAATGTGTCATGGGGAAAATTACCCCTGAAATCTGTGTGCTTAACAGCAAAGGCTTCCTGTTTGCTCCTGGATCCTAGCTGGTGTGGGGCCTCCCTACTGGGACACCGTCTCATTGGTCATGTCTGTAGGGAGAGCAGCTGGCAGGCCACCTTGGCTCTCTCCTGTGGGCCATTGCGTGGTGCACGGCCCACCTCCCCGCCAGGCACTAGAACATGGGGAGGGTGCTGGAGTGTCTGCTGGGCACCAGTGCCTCTGCAGGCCATCACAAAAGGGACTAGTTTCCAAAGTGGGGTTTGATGAGGAAACTGAAGTATAATATTAAGGCCCAGAATTGCCCTTTTCTGTGCACTAACCTGGCAGGAAATGGCTGTTGAGGTGACATTTCCCCTGGTGATTTTAGACCAGGCTTTGGCCAACTTTATCTGCAAAGGGCCAGGTGGTAAATATTTTTGGCTTTGCTGGTCCTTCCATCTGTGTTGCTTTTACTCAATTCTGCCAAAGTACCCGAAGGCAATGTGAGTGACCAGGAGTGGCTGGTTCATAGGAACTCCTTGTGAAAAGAGACAGCCTGTTGTAGACATTTCAGAAATTACTTACGGAAGCTCAGTTCTGGCATTTTCCTGTTCCAGGTCTCGTCCGACTGTGCGTGTAAAGGTGAGGCGTCTGTGCGCCAGCTGCCCGGTGCCGCCCTTCAGGGAGAGGCTGTGGGAGAGTGGCTGTCGGGCTCCTTTTGCTTCAAGGATTTGTGGCTCCTGCCAGCAAAGGGCAGAGCTGCAGACTGGTCACCAGCGCTCTGCTGACTTTGTGTCCAGAAGCTGCCGCCCCTTTTTCCAGACGGGCTCTCTCTGTGTGGGGTCAGGAGGGGCGGCCCCGGGGCTGGCATCTTGGGCATGTGGCTTCATTGTTCAAATTCATCCTATTCTTTTGTTCTGCTTGCGTGACACCTCCTAAGTATGAATGTGAACTTGCCATGGCAAGAGGCTTCCACCTGCAACTTCTGCGTTTAGGAAATGCACAGAGTATGGCTTTGTGGGTGTGAGAAAATATTCCTAAAACACTCTTCTAGTTACAGGACATATTATTACTTCTGCAGAACAAGCGGCAGTCTTGCTCGAGAGAGAGAAGCATTTAAATGTCTTTAAGAAGCACATTTCCTTGTTGGTCTTACGACTTTGTCATTCCTTCTCTGTTACCAATGTTTCTTCCTACTTGCTGGGCCCGGCTCTTTTTCTTTTCTTCTTCACAGTGTTGAGGTTTGTTGAGGGCATGGGTGTCTACAGGGGAGCCCCAGCTGCCTGGGGGTAAGGCCTGGCATCTACCTGGAGGGACCCGTCAAGCAGCCAGAGATGGGATCTCCACAACCTGGTTCACTTGAAA